AGGGGGAGAAAGAGAGGGGAGAGATGGGGAGGGGGGACATAGAGATGGGAAAGGGGGAGAAAGAGGGGGGAACAGAGAGATGGGGAGGGGAGAAAGGGGGGGCAATAAAGAGATGGGGAGAAAGAGAGGGAAGAATGAGACACAGGGAGACAGAGACAGAGAGGGAAGAATGAGACACGGGGAGAAAGAGGGGGAATAGAGAGATGGGGAGGGGGGAGAAAGAGAGGGAAGAATGAGACACAGGGGGAATAGAGAGATGTGGAGGGGAGAGACAGAGAGGGAAGAATGAGACACAGGGAGAAAGAGGGGGAATAGAGAGATGGGGAGGGGGAGAAAGAGACAGAGAGGGAAAAATGAGACACGGGGAATAGAGAGATGGGGAGACAGAGAGGGAAGAATGAGACACGGGGAGAAAGAGGGGGAATAGAGAGATGGGGAGGGGGGAGAAAGAGAGGGAAGAATGCCCCCCCTCCCCTGTCCGCAGGCACCGTGCAGGCAGGGGAGGAAGAGAGGACCTGGGAGCTCACCCTGCAGCTCCTCTGGGTCCTTCTTGCGCGAGCACAGAGCGTTGCCGCGGTTACCATGGCAACGTTACTGCTCTTGCGAGAGTCAACTCTAGCCCTGGAGCTACGGGCTAGAGTTCACTCTCAACACTGTAACCCCCATGGATTCCTGGTGGTCGCAGTGGTGAGAGTGAACTCTAGCCCCATAAACACACTGCCCCCACACACACACCATACACATTCACACACTGCCCCCATACACACCATACACATTTACACACATTGCCTCACACACACACATACACTGCCCACCCATATACACACAGACCCCATACACAGCCCCCCATACTAACATTGCCACACACATACACTGCCCACACACCCTACACATTCACACACTACACCCCCACACACACACTGAACCTTTCACACACATTGCACCACTGCTCCTATTCCCTACTACAGCCTCATATCCCAGCAGACCCCAGGTAAGTTGTCAAACTGTTCTTAAACGGTTTGACTACTTACTCTGGAGCAGTAGTGGTTATTGTGCATGGATTATTTCTTTAAATAATCTACAAGTGCCCCAGTAGCCAGCCAGCCAACCCACAGGCTGGCCAGTAGCCAGCCCACAGGCCAGTAGCCAGCCCACAGGCCTACAGCAAGCCACAGGCTTACAGCCAGCAAGCCACAGCCTGCCAGCCGCAGTCAGCAAGCCCACAGCCTGCCGGCAGTAGCCAGCAAGCCCACAGCCTGCCAGCCAGCAGCCAGCAAGCCCACAGACTGCCAGCCAGCAACAGTAATTAAGGTAAGAGGAGCCAACTTGGCTTAGGTATCAGCGAGCTATGTTGTGTTGCTATATTGTGAATAGGAACCAGAGTGTTGGAGAGACCACCCTCCAGGCCCCATTAGACTCTAGCCTCTGCTAGAAATCCCCTCCATGGCCCATTAGCCCTCAATTGTAGTTTCTACTGGGGCCTGGAGGCGACTGTTTCCAGCAGGGGATATCTAATGGACGCTGAGATGGCCTCTGTTAGAAAGACCCCCTTCCAAGCCTTTTAGACTCCATTGTAGTCTCTAATGGGGCTTGGAGGGGATTCTTTCTAACACACTCTCTAAAGGACACTGAGATAGCCTCCGCTAGAAAGACCCCCCTCCATGGCCCATTAGCCCTCAATTGTAGTCTCTACTGGGGCCTCGAAGGGCTTATTGCCCTTTTGTTCCTTGTGTCTAAAGATTGTGTAGGGTGTGGCTGGAGGCGGTGACAAGGGTGGCGCTTGCTGCAGAGTATGGGTGGGGCCTGTAAGGGGGCCCTTGATTTATTTTGCCCGGGGGCCCTGAGGGTTCTCAGTCCGCCCCTGCACTCACCTCCCTTACACCGAGAGAACTGATCTGTGCTCTCTATAAAATAGATAACTTTTAAAAAATGGAAACATGCAAGATCTACAGGACCGCAGTTAAATTGGGAATGGGTCTTACAAGTAGCCCTGGCTCTTACCCCATTCTTTAAAGAGTCAGAGAGAACCCAGCTTATGGTCCTGAAAGCAGCAGTAGAAAATACTTAGTCTCTATTTTATTTACTGGGAGTGGTTAAAGGGACACTATAGTCACCAGAACAACTACAGCTTATTGAATTTGTTCTGGTGAGCATAATCAGTGCCTTCAGGTTTTTTGCAGTAAGCACTGTCTTTTCAGTGCTTACATTACAGCCTAGGGATAGTTCCACTGGCCACTCCTCAGATGGCTACTTTACTCATAGAGATGCAGGAGATGCTGATTGGCCAGGGCTGTGTTTGACTTGTGCTGACTCTGCCCCTGATCTGCCTCCTTGTCAGTCTCAACCAATCCTATGGGAAAGCATTGTGATTGGCTCAGATAATCACTTCTGATGATGTCAGCCCAGCAGGCAGGTCAGGGGCAGAGTCAGCAGCTGCAGACTTGAGTAAAGGTAAGATTATACTATATATAGGGGGGCCAGGGGGCTAGATGGTGGTTTTAACACTATAGGGTCAGGAACAGGGGCAGACTGACAGGTCGAGTCAGTCAGGGGCCCGGCAGCACAGCCATGCTCTGGCTGAGGAGATCCGAGATCTCCTCAGCCAGAACAACATGATTTCTCCCATATTCCAGTGATATGTTGCAGGGCCCCTGCAACATATCACTCTGTAAATAACCCCCATCACCCGTTTCTATTCTCACAGGGAGACCTGGCAGCGATCATCCAGTTCTTGCTGCCAGGTCTCCTCCCCCTGTGCGGTGCTGTGTGTGAAGAGGAAGAGGCGCGGCCGGGAAGTGACATCACTTCCTGCCCTCCTGAAGAGAAGAAGCTGCAGCAGCCTGGCAGACAGCACAGGTATGATTATGATTATTATTTTTCATACTCACCTCAGCACCCCCTGTCTCCCTGCACCCACCACATCTCCCCCTGTACCCACCTCAGTCCCCCTTTATCTATCTCAGCCCCCCTGTACCCACATCAGCCCCCTGTATCCATCTCAGCCCCCTGTACCCACATCAGACCCCCTTTATCCATCTAATCCCCCCGTACCCTGTAAAATCATTACCTTCAGGCTTTTTGCTGTAAACACTGTCTTTTCAGAGAAAATGCAGTGTTTACATTACAGCCTAGTGATAAGTTCATTGGCCACTCCTCGGATGGCTGTTAGAGATCCTTCCTGGGTCATGGCTGCCTAAAATGCATCCAAACATTCAGTATCTCCTCCCTCTGCATGCAGACACTGAACTTTCCTCATAGAGATTCATTGATTCCCTTAATCTCTATGAGGAGATGCTGATTGGCCAAGGCTGTGTTTGAATCATGCTGGCTCTGCCCCTGATCTGCCTCCTGGTCAGTCTCAGCCAATCCTATGGGGATGCATTGTGATTGGCTCAGGCCACCACTTCTGATGATGTCAGCAGACTGCATGTTTTTTTTTAGGCAAACAGCATGCAGAGCTACAGCTTCTGGCTTGAATACAGTAAGGTTTTGCTATATTTATGGAGGCACGAGGGGCCTAGGGGGCTAGATGGTGGTTTTAACACTATAGGGTCAGGAATACATGTTTGTGTTCCTGACCCTAAAGTGATCCTTTAAAGCTATGAATTCTCCAGCTGAGCATACTTTAATTAATTGGTGTTTTTTTCCAGTGAATTTTGATGCAATTATATTCTTATATATATATCAATAGATGTTTTTTTAATTATTTTAGCATTAATCAATAATCTTTTAATAGGCAAATTTTAACTTGTGCACTTCTTGTGAGTGTTGGTATAGTTGTTAGTCTCACAAAATCCTCCAATAACAGTTTTCAAGATGAATTATTGTTATAGTGTATTTATAGCATCCACTGGCATTAAAGTTTCAAAAGTAAACATTACAGCATATCATCCATGTTCAATTCCTTACTTCTGGTGCGATATAACCGGGTGTGCCGGCATATTCTGTTGCTGTTTTTCTTCCAAACATTCCTTCCAGCGCTAGTCCGAAATCCGCAATCTTCAGGTGACCCACGCTGTCCAATAATATGTTCTCCGGCTTTAAGTCTCTGTAAAAAGAAATATTCTGATTGCTGTGTGCCTCTCCATTTACATAAGATAGAGCATATAACCAGTTGTGTATTTAAAGGGGCCATCTAAGGAAAGGTCAGTGTGGCGGGTCTGCTGCCGGTTCGTGAATTGCTTGTCTGATATTATGTGTGTTTCCCTATCTTTTTGTATGATAATAGGTGTGTTGCTCCTTCTTTTCGTGTCTTCGAGTGCTTGCACAAAGGGAATTAATTTGCCTCCTGAACAGCACCCACTCCCGATACCCCATTTAAAATGTTGGCTTAGAACCTTCACACCTTGCAACATAGTGTCAAACTGCAAACCGCAAGGGAAACAATTAATGAGGACTCCTCCAGCTTGGCGCCATTCGTGGAGACGAACGCCGGCCAGGGGGAGCATTCGTGGATTGGTTCCTGACTCGTTAATTTCCCGAACGAGGATTTCCCCAGTACACCAATAGAATGTTCACACCAATTAATCAGAACGTTAGCACTTGCAACATACGTGTGAAACTGCAAGGAAAGTAATTAATGAATAATCCCCTGGGTGGCCGCCATTTCATACAGACAAATGCCATCCAGGGGGAGCATTCGCGTCCTGAAAGGAGACGCTTCTCTTGCAGGGTTTCACACAGAGACCCCGGGAGCGGAGTCTGGTCAAATAAGGTACCGCTGCGAGGGTCCCTGAGATTCGTGTGGGCACTTCTGGGGCACTGGCAAGTTTGTCAGGCTTTGCGGTGCCCTCTGGGACAAAGAGACCAGCTATTTTCCTGCGGGCGGGCTATCTGTGCCTGGGAGATAAAGGTACGGCCTCTTTTTCCCATGCTTGGTCTCGCAGGAACAGAGGCTCATAGGATGAAGAATCATATACTGAACTATATTGGCCAAGACACGATCTCTATCTTATTGCGCTTCACATGAATCCTGAATCCTTGGAGTTACTCAAGATTCTATCATGAACCACAAATTATGTAAATTTATTGTACATATCTTTAAGAACCCCAAGGATTACTAACAGAGCAGGAATTGTGTACGTGAAGTTTTTGCACACATTTCTCCATTGTAATTTGGTGAACATAGAGTCATGGTTAAACATCTCCTGTTGCACCATATAGAGCACCAGGTTCCTCCATAAACTCTTTAATAGGCCAGTACACATCAAAAATCACACCTTATCCAGTAACAAACATATACAGATAGAGGAGGCTTTGTAAGTTAGAAAAAATACCAAACAATATGGGTTATTAATTATACTCTTAATTGGAAATATTGCAATATATTGGTAAAAATTAAAAATCTTGGAAATTATTTAGCTTGTTTCTCTTAGCCTCAATTATGCCTTTCAGAGTACAGTTTGTTAAATTTCAGACTTGGTTGGATAAACAGAATTTGACCGTGGAAGAGACAGTATCGGTACTTGGTAGAAGATGGACATGGTGAAGGAAGAGATCAAGAGATTTTAGTGACATGACCACCATATATGTGACATTATTTATGATGGGTTCATATAGTAGTAAATATATTATTTTCTTCTTTACCTAACCAACCTTTTATCACTTGTTATCAAACCACAGTCTGTGTGTCTATATGTATTGAGAAAATGACGTCAGACATCCTTCAGCAATGTGAGGACTGTATTTGGTGACAATAATCAATGCCTTTCCCATCTCTAATTCACATCTAAGCAGTGTAATGACAGAGCAAAGACATGTAAAGTAAGGCTTTACTTTAAATGTAAATAGATAATTAAACAATAACAACAAAATTGCAGAACAGAGAATACACAATATGAAAGTTATTTTTCAGTAATTCTATGTTGCTTACCGATGGATAATTCCTTTTGCATGGAGATACTGGAGTCCGCAGACAATTTCAGCAGCAAAAAACCTAATGGAAGAGATTTAAATTATGATCAGTCACAAAGCATTGTAGGCAAGGGCGGCTCTCTAATTAGGCGGTTTAGGCGGCCACCTAAGGCCTTGCGCTGGCTAGGACCTTGCGGCCGCCTAAATCACCTTAGGGCAGACTGTGTCGTGTCCTGACACCAGCAGGGGCTTGCTCAGAATGCCGCCAGGTGCGAGGCCCCTCCTGTCTGCCCAGCCAGCAATCGCAGACACCGGTTTGCAACTCCGCAGTGAGCAAAGCTGCAGACCACGTGTCTTGTGAGAA